CTCCAGTCCACTGCTGCCTTTGGGTCAAAGTTCCCCCATCAGACATGACAATTTTAGGCTTAAAATCTGGATTTCTTCTATAAAGGTATAAATTTATACCTCATTGGTTGTCATCTTGCTAGAGCCCTCAACCATGTTCGTCTTGCCTGCCAGCCCCGCTGAGCTAGACCTTGAGGATGGTCCTCTGGAGGAGCTAGAGTGGGATTCTGTGGGCATCACTCTGGTTCCTTCCTGTTGGTCCATGTTCCCCCACCAGATCTAAGGCTGGCCAGTGACAGACAGCAGAGTCGGAGGGGGCACAGACTTCATCGCCAGATCATTCCAGACTCCCTCCAAGCTGATTTACCAAACCCCGCTGGTCCACCTCAGTACCCCAAGGTACCCCTGGTTTGGCTCCTGTGGCCCCAAAGCATTCAGAAGTGGTGGTCCAACCACTTGATCCAGGTACAGCCAGACCGTGCTTGTTGGCCGGATCTGCCACAGTGCGTCCTCTGGTACTCATCCTGATGCCCACAGCTATGTGAACTGCTGGACAGTTATACCTCCTCCATAGGTTCCTGGGTTTTTGTCACGCTTTTGCTCTGGATTCCAGATTTTCCTCATCCTCAGCCAGTCCCAATCTCTATTATCTGCTAACAGAACTGTTCCTGTGGTACACCCTCATGTGCCCCGTCCTGTCAGCTCATTTTGTGCTGGTCCCATAACTCTATCCCTCTTGTTGTTCCCTGTGTAGTCGGCCTTGTTCTGTTTTGCCTCTTTCCTGTCTGTCTTGCTACTCTTCTGATCCCCTAGTCCTGTGCACACGGTCTAGCTCGGTGTCTTGTCTTCAGGATCCTCTGTTCCATGTGTTTTGCCCGTTATTTGATGCATGTCCCAAGTACTCACTTCCGACCTATGTTCTGTCTCTTTGGTCCTGTCCTTCTAGTCCTGTTTACCAGTCCAGTCTGCTGTCCCGTCTCCCTGGTCTCCATTCCTACATACCCGTTCCAGTCTGTCTTGTTTTTCTGGTTTCTAAGCACTTTGTGCTGCCCCTGTCATGCCATTACCTCATGTGCCTGGAGTGCATGCCTTTGGAAGGGAGTACCGTCATGTCCCTTATTGGCCAGCAGACAGTCCTGAGCTCACTGTGTTCCCTGTCTCGGTCATAGTAGTTTGGTGTTCCCAGTGTCCCTCTTCTCTGCAGTGCTCCCTGTTTTCCTGATCACCCCACTCCAGCCTAAGTCATTCCTGTACTGTTTTAGACCCCCGTGGTCCTTCATTTTCTGGTTGTTATGTCCCACTCCAATAAAACAAATGTCAGTCCAGCCCAATGCTGCCTCTGGATCATGCCTCCCCCATCAGACATGACAATTTTAGCCTTAAAAACTGGATTTCTTCTGTAAAGGTGTAAACTAACTCCATCTACAGTACTGTGCAGAAGACTTAAGCAGTCAAAAGAAATGTTTAAAGCTATTTATCTGGGTAGTAAATGTGCAATCCCTGAGAACAAAAATCACAAATTAACATTAGTGGATGTGCAAATTAAGAGTAACAAGCCAACAAGAATTCTTCTGTTCTCCAAAAAGTCTCGGATGTCTAGTTGACTGGCTAAAAGAACATTGCTTCCGTTCCTAAACCTCACCTCAGGGATATTTGCTAAATTTCACCACCAGCTCACTTAATTAAATTAGAGTTTTTAAGTGAGTCAGGTATTGATTATTCGCGAGGTGTGCTAGTGCTTGAGTACATAGTTATATTGAATGCATACTGAAAATACTGGGGTGACTATAGGTTTTGAAATGGCTAAGCTGACATACCTTTACAGACATATTATAGTTTTATACCAGCATGAATATAACTGCAGGGCACATACACACACATACTCATACACTACAGCCAATTTAGAGATGCCAGTTAGCAAGATGCATATCTTTGGACTGAAGGAGGAAGTCTGTACAACACAGGGTTAATAAGCAAAAACCACACACAGAGCAAAAGCAACAGTCTAGCGCCAATGCTGGATGTGTGAGCCTACAAATTTCATCTTAACATTAATTGCTTTGTATAAAAACTTTTACTCAGCACATAACTACGATGATGATTGCCACAGCTGGGGCAGAAGAGGCTTGGACCTGGTGGCTGAGGGGGTGATGTGCGGTAGAGCGATGTTGCTTCTGGCACTGTTCTTTTCTAAGTTGTGCCCATTTTTTCTCCTTTGTTGGCATAAGGACGCTTTCCATGGAGAGCCAGTGGACCAAAGTAGCCTTTATACTGAGGTTGTTGTGCAATCAACGATGTTAGTGTCACCCACACTAACATCGTTGATTGCGCAACAACCTCAGTATAAAGGCTACTTTGGTCCACTGGCTCTGCAGTATGCAGTTCTTCCGGCTGATACCAAGAATATTCTGAAGACATCTGATGTTAGGGGCAGTTCACCCCAAAACTTTAAAAAAGATATATGTTCAAGATATGTGTAGTGGTAATGCTAAAGAGGTGCTGGGTGTGCTTTATACTGCTATGGGTGACTTACAAACTGCTTATCCCAATGGTTTTTTTATTGTGTATCTTAGTGAAGAAGGAGTAACAGCGTCTCCATTTCCTTCAGCAGCTGAGGAGGACAAGTCTGCCCTCCCCCATTCATGAACATGTTTTATTGGGGAACCATTGAGAGTGTCTTGATTAGCAGCATCACTGTGTGGTTTGAGAACTGCAACATCTTTGATCGCAAGACTCTATTATGGATACTGAATGCACCTGGAAAAATGATCATGACCCCTTTACTTTCCATTGAGGGCATCTTACTTGAACGCTGCATCCGCAAGGCCTCCAGCATTGTGGCAGAAGGTACATATGAGCGTCCTCTGCTGGCTTCTGCAACAACTTCTTCCCCAAAGCTGTTAGAACTCCTATCCTGCCCTGTTATAAACCTGGCTTACCACCAGCCCTAGCCACATTGTTCAGAGGACATTGCCCAACACGGCACCATTTCCTACATCTGTGTCACATCTACTGTATTGTTATATCTGTTATATTTATTATTTCTAAAGTCGCCACCGTATCTGTTATTGTGTGGGTACACCTAGCTGCCCTGTTTGTCAGTGTATGTATATTCTCTATTTTTATTTATTAGCTATTATTCTCCTTTCCCCCTCTTCCTCATGTGCTGCCCTTGTCTTGTTTACAGTCTCTGCACTTTATGTATATACTTTACCACAGTCCTGGGGAATGTTATTTCATACCACTGTATACTGTTGACTGTATATAGATGGTATGACAGTAAAGGCCCACTGCTTGAATTGACATCTCAGAACTCTGGGGTTTGATCAATCAGGTTAGCTGGTGGAAGATCAGGATCCATTTTCAGAAAGCAGGATTTCTTGTTTGTCAGATTTAAGGTACCCCAGTTAAAATGGCTTCATCTTTGTTCACTTACATTTAACTCAGACTACCTTAAATCTGATAAGTTATCTGGCTAAGCAACTTTCTGAAACAGGCCCCAGGAGTGCCTCAAATGCAGAAGGATTAGAGGGGTTTCTTTTGTCAAGCAAGAAGTCAAAGTGTGTAACCCTGCATAAATTGCTTTTCCTTTAGTACTATCAGAACATCAACTTCTCTTAGAGGTGTGATGTTCCTTTTTTCTGACCATAAAGAGATTTTATTTCAGAGTAAAAAGCCTGAGTATTAGTGGTTTCTGCATAGAGTTGGATTTCAGTGGCTTTTTAGCCACTATTAATTTTCTATGAGTCTGCTCTGTTTTGGGGTGTTCATGCTAATGATTTTCCACATGAAGAAGACCGTTGGGTAGTGGGGGTTGGAGAAAAGTGCAGTTTTCTTGGAGAAACTGGTGTACGGCAGTAGAAATGTTTATGCCCTGAGGAGCCCCGGACATGCTACCAAGTAATCTTGTTCGAAGGTATATCCTTCACCAGCATCTATCAGTGAGTTTCACTCAATGCTGAGATCTTGGGTTTGTCCTCAATTCGTGTGCAGCAAGAGCATCTGTAAGGCAAGAGCATTAAGAAGTGTACAGATGTTCCAGATTCATAGTCAGTGTTACCTTATTTTGTCACTGAAGATAGGGATGTCCTGATGGCTGCATGGGATCAAATATAAGGTGACATAGAGCCCAAATTTTCTGTCCATGGGATAAAGGGAAGAGGGAATGTTTAGGTTATCTTTTCTAGGCCGTTCCCCCCATTGTGGGTGAGCAGAGGGGTTCCCTGTTTTTCAGATGTTAAAGGCCTTACGTGTTCAATAGCACAAGTCCGCTACATTGTTTCATAATCAACTACTTCCCAGTGATTCCCAGACTGGCAACATGCCCCTACCAACTGACAAAAAGATCTAACCACACATTTTTAAAAGGTAATAGAAAAAACAGTCTTCTTTGAATCCTGGTTCATTTTAAGAAACTACAAACTGCAAAATTCCAGTATTGAGTAACATTTTAAACTAGTTGGCTCACTGCAGGACTTTCCCCCCTTGCTTGTCAGTTTCACATATTTGCACTGTCCTGTGAAATGCAGTATTTCTGGCAAAGACCTCTATATAATGTGTGATATCTCTATAAAGACGTAAACGTGACATAGACATGACGCTTTTGTGATGCATGTAACCTGCAATGTTGAAATCTATACACAACACACCCCCCACATAAGGATAGATCTGCTATGCAATACCAATGCAGCACAGCTGTATTCGTTTCCCTGTCATATAGTATTGAGTATGTGTGCATGTATGCATAGGGATTTATTTAGACAGGGTGTAAATGCAATGATAAAATAATTGGCAAAAATAAAATATTATTAGTAGTAGTAGTAGTAGTAGTATTATTGTGTTACTATATGGTATATTATTATTATTGTTATTATTAATAATAATAATAAAATTATAATATAAGAAACACCGCAAATAGGATGCCAATACATTTAAGATCCACTGGAGATACACCACAGTCATGTATGAAACCTTGGCTCCATGTACAAATTACAGACTGTGACAAAAACAGAAAAATTGTGTGAATTTTTATGCATTTATCTTATAATGCTTACAATAAGCATTATATTACTCATTTTGTCCACACAAGACGACAGATGCTTCAATGACAAGCATTAGCACTTTCATCATTTCTCATCAAGATCTTTGCACTTTTCCTGAAGTAAAACACGTGGAAATGTTTTGTGAGTCAGTCGACACTAGTGTAGCAGACACAGTTAGAGCATGAGCGCCGCGTGACAGCCATCAGCAGTCGCCCACAAGACAGTCTGTTTGTGCTTCACAGTCACACTGCTTAACAATACCCTGCCATTTTGAAGAGGGAAATTGCATCTGATAAAAAGAGAGGAAAAGAGAATGACAGGCTATCTGTGTTTTGTATGTATTTGCCAACAGCTTAATGTCTCACCAGATCCATCATCAATAAGAATAAAGCTTTACTTTAGTCAGGCATTTTTCCATCTTACCTGCTTTGCTCTATTTTGTAATCAACATGGTCTTTGCAGAGCAGCCTCCTGCAAACGGCAGGAGTTCTTCCATAACAGAAGTTTACCGTGACTGAACTCGATTTCATGACTTCCCTACTTGCAAAAAACCAACAGAAGAAGACAATTAAAGAAGATTTAATAAATCTTCAGTAAAAAAAGAGTACCTGAAGTCTTTATCTGCTATTTATACTGGCTGCATACACAGGGAAATATTCTTCCAAATTTGCTAAACAAGTGAATTGCATCACTTTGAGAAACCCATGTGGAAATTACGCTGTGGTTGTGTGCTACAGTGGTGTCCGATATCCTGTTTGTGCAATTAAGACGGTTTAAAACTTCCCGCAGTTTTTATAAAATAAAAGTTACCAGCCATGGTTTACGGATGATTTTTCCCAGCTAAAATCAAATAGCTGTCACTAACAACTATTCAAAAGAATTGATATTAAATATTCTAGCAAATATTATCCATGGCTTCATAAAAGTTCCAAAAGCCCATGGTTTAAATTTAATGGTTTTTTATAATCAATAATGTGCAAGTCATTTTACAAAATGAAAACATGGGTCTTGCATTTAAGATTAACTTTATTGATCCCAGGGTGAATTATTAATTATTATCCGAGTGATATTTAAGAAAACATTAACATTGGGGTGGAGGATGCTCCACTGGATATTTGGGAAGGGGCTGCAGAGATTCAGCCCACATGACAGTACAGTAGTACCTCAGAACATGAACTTAATTCATTCCAGAAGGCCGAGTTGCGATTTGGTTGAGGTCCAAGTAGAATTTCCCCATAAGAAATAATGTAAATTAATTTAATCCATTCCAGACCCTCGAAATGATTGCATATTTAAACTTATCTTCCTAACTCATGATAAAAAGCATTAACCATCAATACAAAACTAATGCACTCATGAAAAAGCACACATACAAAAGCAATAAACATGAAGTAAATGACAATCCCATACCCTGAACCGAGAACAGACACATGTGCACCACCTTCAAGTCTTGCTATAATTTCCTTCTTAAGTTCTACAGTTACTCTCACGACTTTCCTGTTTGGTTTGCTGGTGTCACTGCTCACTTTCTTAGGGGGCATGATTACTGTATCACTAAATGTACTGTATATAAGGCACAAAAAATTCACACCGAACACAGGAGCTCGGTCCAGAGGTACCGTGACACTGAAAGTGATTCGTAGGCGTAAGCGCCCCAGTAGGTCCATTTGCTTTTATGTCAGCCCATAAGAGGTGTGTCTCGATTCATACAAGTTTTAACAGGAATGGTTGAGTTCTGAGATTTAGGTCGAGGTACAAGTCGAAAAAAATTTGACAGACCCGTTCAATATCCGAGTTGGTTGAATTGATAGGCTTTCGAGTTCCACTGTATACAAATAAACATGCCTTTTAAACCCTCAAGGGTTTCTTTGTGAGTTACTGTGTCTTTGCGTGCAAGATGGGCAACAGTCTGCACAAACCATGCAGCTCTCGTCAAGTCAGCATGCCAGGAAGCTGTATTGATGAAAGCGCTAAGAGTAGATGCAATGTCTACATGGAATTTTGCTAACCTCCCCCTTCTGCATTAGCACTTCTTGAATTTAAGTCTCCACATCCTCTGAAATACCATTTTTAGACATTTAGGTGACTGAGCAATCAAAAATAATCAGCTTCCTGAATCAAGAGTGAGCGTGAGAGTCATCTATATTTTATTGAACTATGTACAGAATCCCATAGGAAACTGGGGGCAGGCTTTCATTCACATCTGCTATATAATAAGTAACATAGCGGGAGGTGTTTGCAACAAGCAAAAGTCATTCACCCCAAGCAGCTGATCTTCCTGAAAGTATTGATGGAAAATGGCCTACAGTGGTGACATGGACCCAATCTAACATGGTTATGATTGCAGGATCTCTGATTCAGGGACGTATATTAATATACAGTTACAGTGTCCTCCATAATTATTGGCACCCCTTGAAACGATCTGTAAAAATAGTAAAAATCTACCTTTCAGTGAAGTAGCTTCATCTCATACTGATAAAAATCAGAAAAATCCAACCTTTCATTGAAATAAATTTATTTAAAGAAAAAACAAATCCTGCATCATGAAATAATAATTTTTAACATAAACACATCTGCCACAATTATTGGCACAAGTAAACACAATGTAACTGAAGCATGTTTCCCCTGTAAATTGTACATCTTTGAGTGGATTAGAGTGAATAGGAACCTTCAATCTGTAATCCATGACTTCCTGATTAACTGGGGTACAAATATAAGGTGACATAGAGCCCAAATTCCCTTAGCCATCCATCAACATGGGAAAGATAAGACAAGAATGGAGCTTTGTAGCAATAAACATTCAAGGTGGGTTTGGCATAAAAAGAAGGATGGCTGTAATGTAAAGAACCTTATCCCAATTGTAAAATATGGTGGAGGTCCTGTGATGTTGTGGAGCTGTTTTTCTCCAAAAGCCCTGGAAACCTTGTTAGGGTGCATGACATGAACTCCATGAAATACCAGGACTTTTCAAATCAAAATTGGGCTGCCGCTGCCAGGAAACTCAAGCTGGGCCATCATTGGATCTTCCAGCAGGACAGTGATCAACACATGAAAACAAAAATGGTTAGCTGACCACAGAATCAAGCTTCTGCCATGACCATCTCAGACCCCAGTGAAAACCTGTGGGCTGACTGAAGAGAAGAGTGCGCAAGAGAAGGCCTAAGGCTCTGGGTGATCTGGAGAGATTCTGTAAAGAGGAATGGTCTCAGATGCCCTGCTTGGTATTCTCCAACCTTATAAAATGTTATAGGAAAAGACTCTGTGCCATTATACTGAAAAAGGGAGGTTGTACAAAGAATTAAATGCAGTGGTGCCAATAATTGTGGCACATGTTGTTGAAAATAATTATTTCTTGATTTGTTTTTCTTTAAATAAATTTATTTTAATGAAAGGTTGGATTTTTCTCATTTTTTCAGTGTGAGATGAAACTACTTCGCCAAAAGGTGGATTTTTTTCTAACCCTTTTAATGAATTTTTACAAGGGGTGCCAATAATTGTGGCGGACACTGTATATATTTTAATGAAATATTCCATCCATCCATTTTTAATGGCTTATCCCAGTCAAGCCAATGATTAGATTATTATTACAGCTAGGCAATGTCATGTAACAATAAAGTGAAGTCAGCAGAGTACCTGAATCTACTGAATGACCATGTTATCCCATCAATGGATTTTTTCATTCCTAATGGCATGGGTATATTCTAGGATAATAATACCAAGACTGACGGGGTTCAAATTGTCAAAGAGTGGTTCAGTGAGCATGAGGAATAATTTTCCCCACATGATTTGACCTCCACAGAGTCTTGACATTAACCCCACTGACCATCTTTGAGATGTGCTGAAGAAAACTTTATGGAGTGGTTCAACTCACATATCATCAATACAATATACAATACAGGCTATTGAAAATTTCAAAAAAGGACTTAAGACATTTCTTTTTAATAGAACTTATGGATGTTAATTAATTTTGCAGGCTACAGGTTTCTTAATTATTGATCTACTTGCTTGTTTTAATTGTTGTTTTAATATGTGTTTTTTTTCACTTTTTTTAGGATGACATATTTTGTGGATTTATTTTAAATGTAAAGTGCGTTACAAAAAAAATCTATTATTATTATTATTATTATTATTATTATTAACATCCTAACACATCTTAATAGCTTTAATATACATTGAGTGCACATTGACCAACAAACATTATATGATTATTTGATAATAATATTTGATATTAATATGTTACAACTGTCATATCTTGTTCATTGAAAGTATTATAAATGCAATGCTTTAAGACATATTAAGGTATAAATACATCCTGCTGCTTATGAATGTTCTATGAATGCATAATGAATGCATTATGAATGTATCAATGTAAAGTATTACCCAAACTTCTATATAAGGACCCACAAATGGGTGCAATTGAGCCATTGAGGGACTTTCACATATTTCTGTGAAAAATTACACTTCAGGTTCCACGTACTAAAACCATATGAATGAGTACACACAAACTGTAAGTTCCTCCTTTCAGCTATGACAAAGAGGCATCTGTTATTTTACTATTTTTCTGGCAAGCCATGGTGCCGATGCCACATTTTACAGTCAAATAACCCCATGGTCTGACGGGTGAAAACACTGGCGTTTGGAATGGAATGAAACTTTATCTACATAACAGGAGTTAATTGAATGACGCCACCCCGTAGCATCATTTCACTGCCAAATCACTTATAGGAAAATTGGGGGGGGGGGAGGCATAAAGCATGCTTGTCATTAATCTACCATCAGGTTGATAGGGGGTTATTGACAAGTGGGGCCATTTAAATAATTTGTTTCAATGCTTAATTACAGGACAATGCTTTTTCAGTCACATCTGATGAATTGAGCTGTTGCACACACCAAATCTTTTCAAAATTTGCATAAGCACATTGCCATTGTACTCAGGGGCGGTTCTGGGCGGGGGCAGTGTCAGCCAGTGCCCCCGTGACAACATGCTTGATCCCCCCTGTGACCCCCCTAAATATGTATGCTACTTGGCTCTGAAATAAATGTAATATTATTATTACTATTATTATTATTTACATTTATATATGTGAGCTAAAATTTTGTGTGCTGGGAACAGGAGAAACACAAATGTATGCATATTTTCCTGACAGACTCTTAACGTGACAGAAAAAAATTAAGTTTGAGGAAGCAAGAGAGTCTAAACAAGAAATCGGAGTGTGTTAAGAGGATGACTACAAGTCAGAATATAAGGATAAATGACTGCAAAGCATTGCATAAATAACTTATTGGGTTTCAAAATTGTCTTGCTTTTTAATGTTGGCAATCTAGTGTAATGTGTTTGTCTGAACATTTTGTAGGTACAGAACCAAAATACATTCAAGGTTTGGAATATTTGAGATTGTGAAAGGTGTGTATGGGGAGTGTAAATGGCAGCCGGTCCTGCATTGGCATGTATTCAGCTCCCTGTAATGATGCAGTGCCAAAGTAGGGCAGCCTTTCTAATTTCTGCACATCCATAGACAATGCTTTCAGTCTGAAGCCTTTGACTATTTGTACAACTGGGTATTTCAATATAAAAAAAATTCCGCAGGAAACAATAATATTCTTCCAACTTTCTGTTACTTGAGTGTCGGTGGTCATAGTCCTCCTTTTTGATATTCCTTAGTCAAACATCTCAGCAAAATTCCACAGTGAAGAAGAATTTAAGGCCAAGGGCAAGAAAACAGCTATGGAGAAACAATAATCTGTGCTGTGTGATTGTCAGAAGGAAGAGAAACTAGCTTCCCCTTTCTGTTATCCCTCTTTCTCTGTTAATTCAGCAAATATCTAATGGCACTGATGACTAACACACTGAGTCATTTTCCTATCTAAATCAATGCTCCCTGTTTCCCCTTTCACTTTATGCTTGCAAAGTGTCCATCAGCAGCACAGCCAGGTGCGGACAGAGTCAAACGTGACCATTGACTGCTTCAGAAATTGCTACATTTTCCTTCGTCACACCAGGTGTGCACTGTACTGACAGAACTACATACTGTATCTGTACACAGAGTACATCCAATAGTGGGAAATTAGGCAAATGGTCCTGTAAAAAGAGAAAAATCATACAAGAGGTGCAAGACAGTGATGTTTTGCTGATCTAGAGGTTTTTCATTTGCTGGCCTCTGTTATCACATCAAATAAAGATAAAAAATGACTGGACTGCAGCTGTAAAACACTCAAAAGTGTCATCCATACATCCAGGGTCATGTTAATGTATCTTTCAAACTAGCCATCTTCCAACCAATTATCCAGTACAGGGTCACAAGAATAAATATTTGTATAATTATTTTAAGGGAGTCACAGCAATGCATAATGACTGGTGCGTAAAACCATGTAGTGCATGGTAATAGCAAAGTAAATACATTTATTGTGCCATCCATTGTTATTTTAAACTGGATGATGTGTTTTCACATGACGGACATACTTTTTTTTTATATAGAGACAACAAAAGCATTAAATTCACTTCACTTGTAAATTCACTTCACAGACTTAAAGATTACAATTTGAGATTACAATTAATTTGTCAGAATGTAAGCATAAATTTAATCTCAAATTAGATAAAACTATTTATGTATTTTAACCTTTTTAACAGGAATAAAACAGCATTAAACAAGGTTAATAGGTTGATAAAATTATTTATTGATAGGAACTAGGTATCCGTTCAATAAAAGGTTTAAGAGGAATACATTATGATAACTTCTGTTATCAGCAGTTTAAAAATAACTATATTTTACTGTATTGCCAAATATTATATTGCCAGTCAATAATATTTTGGATTTTTCCTAACATATCTCATAGAAGTATCAGTTCAGTCCAAATACTTGTCAATTAAAGATAAGACATTACAAATATTTCTCAGGATTGTATTCTCTCCCACATTTTTTCCATCATAATGTGTTGTAAAGATAGGACCCGACATTTCTGGGAAAAAAAACACCATAGAGACCTTCACCTTTTTCTGAGTGGGTCAAATTCCTTCCCTTATTTTCAGATGTTGCGGTGAGCACCAACAAGGTTTTTGGCTGAGGATTCTTTAATATTTCAGTCACTCTTGTTCCATCCTCTGCACTGGTGCTATTCTCTGGGTCCTCCCACTAAAGGTATGACCACATTTGAAAATATGGTAAGCAAATACATCTAAAATAGTCAAACCCAGAGCAAATAGGTTTCTCTTAGGAAGAAGGTTGCTTGCTCACTGGCACTGGGAGAAAGGAAATCTGTGAGAAATAAACATGGCTGCTACAGTATTCCTCTGTGTTACAGCTTTCCAACAGTGTTTGGAGCTGAGGCAAGGTTTTGAAATCCTGACAAATCAAGTCAACCAACGGGGAGGCCTTTACTGGGAAAATTCACCAGTGCATCAATTGAATTTGATAAGAGTTGAGTCTAGGTTGCTGGAAAATGCGGGCCATAAACCCCAAAGGTCACCTCCCCCCATGTGTGTCCAGTACCTATCAATCCACAATATCCTACCATTAAACACTGACCAATAACATAAAGAGCATGATGGAGATGGAAATACATTAAACAGTGATTACCACTTTATATTAAACAAACAAAACATTGAACCAATTGCACATAATGTGAAAGGGGAAAAAAAACATTTCTTGGAACAAATGAAGGAACAGCAAATAACATTACATCACAGTCCCAAATAATCAGAACCAGAGCCTGGGATATCAGCCTGACTTAAAACATGTAAACATTAGCAGGATTGTAGGATCTTAGGAATCCAGCATGTAGACCATGTGATCCACAGACTATGACACAGAATCCTCGGTCATTCTCTGATGCTGAACACAGCCATTACATTGTCCTTGGCTAATCATTCTCAAGAATTATCTATAGATGGCATATCTCACTGCTCATCAAAATCAATGCCCTCATTGACAAGGTGCAATGCTAACAACAGCTGCTTCTTCTGGCATCTCTCTTCTGTCATTACACTACTTCCACTCCCACCCTTCAAGCACTGCAAGCTCATCTAATGAAGAAGCAGCAAATGAATGAATACCACATTTATGAAACGCAATCCAAGTCAAGGCTTATTCAGATTAACAGTGAAGCAGCAGGAAATCTGTGTTCCTGATAACAACCAAACAAAAGCAATCGATTTTGACTGAAAAAATTCTATTGAGAATGTGCAGGTGCATTTGTTAAATCAACATATATTACAACACAGCACTGGACTGGCGGAAGTGGTCAACAACTCAACAACAGATGGAGGAACAAGTTTCAGTGTCGACACTACCCTAAATGCAGCACAAACGTAGCTGGAACACAGAACAGTACAGTTTGTGGATCTAAGAAGACTGCAACAAATTCCATTTTTATTCAGTGTCTACATTCATTACTTTGCCTGTCAGAGCCATTTCATGATAGCGCCTCTTCTATTTACTACCAATTTAGCTCTGGACTAGTGCAGTAACAAAGAGTGTAAGAATGATAATATAAGTGTGTAATAGTCCACCAAAAGGCATGACTACAAAAATAAATCTCCCCATTTTCATGTAATTAATTTAAATTTAATTTTTTTTATTGTCCCACAATAGCAGAAATATTTATTATCATGTTGCTTAGTTGGCATTTTATGCAAAGCAATAAAAAATAACCATTCATACAGTTTTATATTTTCACTGGATCAAATCAAGTCCATTCATGAAGGTACAAAAGCAGGGGTCTGTCTGGGACTCAAAACTGTAAGCTTTACATTACAAGCCCACACCCCGAACCACCCTGCTACCTGATGGTGAGGTTTTACAGGAGCACACACGGCTTTTTGGTTGTGGTGGGCTGAGGGTTAAGGTAAGCCCTCACTGCCTCAGCAAAGACCTCCCTGATGCCATCCTGATGGAGGGCAGAGCACTCAAGATACTTAATGGCACGGATTTGCCGTGCCAGGGCCTGGCCCTGCTGGTGGGTGATGGTGGTCTGGTTCTGCTCCTTCAGCTTTTGCAGCACATCGGTATCCGATCGTAAATCGCTCTTGGTGCCCACCAGCAGAATGGGGACGCTGGGGCAGTGATGGGTCACTTCGGGGTGCCATTTGTGCTTGACATTCTCGTAGGAGGGTGGACTGGCGATGGAGAAGCAGATAACAAAGACATTGGTCTGTGGGTAGGACAGCGTGCGCAGGCGATCGTACTCCTCCTGCCCTGCCGTGTCCCACAGGTTCAGGCTGATAGTCCGGCCATCCAGAGTCACCTGGGAACTGTAGTTGTCAAAGACTGTGGGGATGTACTCCCTGGGGAATGCGTTTGTAGTGTATGAGATGAGCAGGCAGGTCTTCCCTACAGCACCGTCTCCCACCACCACACACTTAATGCTCTGCATTCTGATCCCTTCGCGTCCTCAACAATCTGAAACAAACAAGACAAGTTATTTTTATACCTACATACACCATGCCCACAAAAGACCACTCAACGGGCCTTGTGCATGTACAACTGCACCATCCTTAGAAACATTTAACAAGCAGATAAACATTTCAGGTCAAACTTCCTCTGACAACGAAGCAGTCATAGCTAACTGCCAAAGCATTTAAATAAAAATGTAGTCTTGCAAATTTCTCCAGAGCTATAAGCCAAAAGTCAACATAGTGAGACTGATGCATTGCACAAATGTAGCTAAACGAAACTTAACAAATAAAGCTTGCACATTTAACGGCTGTCACTGTACTTGTAACCCCGCTCTAGCATGCCGTGGAAATTACATTCACAACTGTTCCGTTTTCTGATGATTCTCCTTCTGCTGCGCTGATTTTACTTCTTGTTTGACATTTCACATAAAACAAAGTAGTTTAGACAATGACGCTGAAATGCAAACTAAGTCTGTTGCAGTTCTATGCATGGAAACTTAGTGCTGAGCATGTTGCTGTCTCAGTTTGAACTAGCTGCTTTACATGAGTGTTAAGCACATACAGTATAAAACCACACAGAATCTGTTTTTGTTCCTCACACTCCACCCTCACTGGACTCCGGCTGTCCTTCACTTGGTGGGTGGAGGGAGAAAATAAATTCTGACAAAAAATAACAGTAAAGCAGAATCACTGGACCTGCCCCAGTCATCTGTCTAGAGCAGATGTTTGATTATTGGAGTCATAGGCTGCCCAGCTCAGCCCAGTCTCCAGTGACACATAAACCCAAGTCCATCCAAGCTCAGCTCCACAGCACAGCTGAGCAGCCTGCATGGGTGTAATCAGCAACACAAACTGAGTGGCCTGGATCACATGCACATATTGGAAAGGCTGCTCTGCACATGGACTGCTCTACAAATGGACTGCTCTGCACATGGACTGCTCTATAAGCCAACAGTTTTTGTAGCATTAGTTACCAACCCCTAAGCCAGATGTCTTCTACATTAAGTCAAGACTTAGTGAGCCAAGTCATCATCAATGCCATCCAAAGCAGTGGACACGCTCTAGGATGTGCATGCTCTGACCCTTTTCGAATTGCTTAGTCTCAAACCACAAAGGACCACAAAAGGAACTAAAACTTGTAAGCAAATGGCTTTTGTATCAGAAATGCATGACAGCAGTTTTATGACACATAGGAGTTTTTCTTTTTTTCTCTTACCAGTGGTGAAAGCAGAAGTTTCTGATCATCCCCCATAGCTGAACAGAAGCTGCCATCGGTAGTAACCACCTAAGCAGTTAGCACTGGCCCGTCAGGGTATCTATAGTCACTACTGTGCATACTGGTTGGTTTATTTAAGCTGAGTTTCACCACAGCAAGCAAGCCGAATATCTTGCTATGGGTTTTTTGATTATTACTGCAAAAGAAACTTTAGAGTCTGCAGAAAGTGAGTATAACAACTGCTTCATAGGCTCTGGCCAAGTATGTGTGATTCATGTCACTGTAACATTTGGTGGTGTCAGGATAGACATTTTATTTGGGGGGGGGGGCAGCTGACCAGGCTTGGTGCACTGATTAATTCCACCTGTCACACCTGTATAAACTGCACTTTTGCTCTTAGTTACCAGGAAGACGTCCCAGCCCTGCTCTGCAACAAATGGCAAGCCTGAGCCATTCCCCTCCCAATTTGTCTGTTGTTGTTTTCACTTGAGCCCCCCCGCCAGCTTTCTTTTAGTATTTCCTTAGTGTGTGCCGTCAGCCCCAATCCTACCCCACCCTGTTCCCCCTGAAAATGACGCCGCTTCCCCAGATAAAAATCCTCTTCCTTGCCCAGCCCCAGTGTGACATGGTTTTGCTGGCTACTTCAATCAAAGACAGTTTTACTAGAATCTGTGACACTTTTCAGACTCATGAAACATTTGTGCGTCGTTTTCTATAGAGCTAAAATACAAAACTAATAGTATTACACCATATAATTATTTAATAGCACAGATATCCCGTTTAAAGCTTTACAATTAATACTCTATGTTACAATCTCAGTGAAATGAACTGCCTTGTGTTTGCAAATGTTTTAAATAAATGAACACATAGGTTCAGTATGAACAAATCTTGATTCATTGATCATCTTTTAATCAGACACATTCACATTCTACATACAAATCATAAAATCCAATCTTAGCATTCAGTAAAAATTTAGCGGAGGAATCAGGTAGCATTTGTTATCGTAATTAACTGTGTACAATCTGGCAGTAAGAGATTACCAGTTGCTCCCCATTGGGGTAGTTGTAATTTCATCTTAGATATGAAATAACCCCTTCACAAAAGTGATCACTATAAACTCCCTGAATATTCTAAGGTAAACCTCTTTCAATTGTTTCTTTTTTTAGTAAAATCAGCATTTCATTACTGCCAGGCGTAACTTCAAACTATTGTTCCGAAATTATCAATTCATATTTAATTATAGTACTGTACCAAAAGACACGACTCGCAGGGCTTGCTCAGTTTAACAATCATTGCAAATCCACAGGACCTTCTTGATTTAAGCACATATTTCTGGTTCATAAAAACGGGGTCGTTAACACTTATTTCAACTTCCATGGAATTATATACAATGCTAAATAATTAAATGTGAAAAACATTCAAAAGATGAAAATTACTATACAGAGTATATTGAAAACATTTTGGGGTATAGCCTAATATTTAAATTGTTTGTTATATATAAGAGAAATCCGAAATAACTGCAAAATTATTAAGAACTGAAAACTGGTCTCAGACTTAATTGATGCATTTCGCATTTTTACACTAACTGTTGCATTGCTGAACTATTTGCTACGGCTGCATTTTCATTTTGCGAGCCCAAGATGACAACCGATTCTATTCATTCATCAGGGTTTGAAATGAACGTGAGTAAAAATAACGACACAGTCTAATGATATGGATGCGTTGTTTGCGACTGAGCCTGGCCGGACACATCCAAAGGGTCCAGTGACTAACAATTTGCAACGTATAAAACAAATCCCTTAATATGAAGTTCTCACAGCACAGAAATCGACAGTATTTGTTTTGGATGATTATGAACACATTTCGCATAAATCCATATACACCCGTTAGCATCATTGTGATTAACAGAGAACATGTGTGGTTGTCTGTAACTTAATGTCAACGCGTCGTAACGCAAAGACTTAAGTTCTTCGTAAATTACTATAGTGAAATCCTGTACAATTTGGGAGTGACCCCAAATGTATTTCTCCAATTTAAAAGTGAAGATCAAGCCCTGCTGTGAAAATTATCTTAAATGCGGATAAGTATAAATAACTAACATAAGACTCGTAAAAAAACTGGATCTTGAACTTGTCCAGATTATCCCCCACTGCTATTATAATGCATGGATAAAAGAAACCCGTTACTCACAAACTAGGAGCAGTACTAAACTTCGTCCTACGTCACTAGAAATACGATGCGAATAAAATCGCTACGGGAAAGCAGTTTTAACCACTATCGTCAGTAAGAAAGAGGAAACAGAGAAAAGCTCACCAAACATAATATTTCTCCTGCGAGAAGTCTCCTTCTCTCCTTCGGATCACGGACTAAAGATCCCTCCAAGTGCCTTACGACAATTCACCAGCGGCAGTTGTACCGTGAAGGAAGTGAAATGTAATTCTCAAAGAGGAAGTCTAACGCACAAAAAAGTAATTGCTGTAAGAGGAAGTTAATTTGCAAGGCATCTAGCCGGTGACCGCTCCTCACCAGAAAATGCCTATGGCTTGATTTTACCGGCTTATATTATGGGCTTACATTTATAGCAAACTTATTTAAGTTTGTGATATGTATTACAAATACAGAAATACAATAGTAATATAAAAACAATACTTATAACAATACAGAAATACAGAATACCAGCACCAGTTTGTGTTTTGTTACTGGTGGACCAGCATAGCTGCCCTGGTCTCCCTGCACCTGAAGCTGGTCCACCAGCACCAAAACACAACATACACTGGTATAACCAGCATACATTTTGCTGGTCATGCTGGTAACAAGCTATGCAGCTCTATGCTGGGTTTTTGTTTTAGCAAGAACTTCTCCAGGTCTATGAAAAAGAATAAAAAAATTAAAAAAACAAGCCATAGAGCCTAACAGTAGGTTAATAGATTAAAAAATGCAATGGGCATATAAACCAAAACGTAATGAATAAAACAGTAATTTATGATTAAGTGAATAAGATTTAAAAATAAGCAAATAAAGAATTGATAATGTTTTGAGGTATACTGCCACCATGAGATGTGTCATATTGGACTAATTTGCAACTACTGTTCAGCATGCTTCTAAAATAGCTCCTCTCCCACAGTCTACACATCGCGTTAGTTGCACCTAAACCCGAGCAGCTCTATAGCAGCCGTGACAAATGTGAAAAGGTGTCAAGCCCAGTCCGCCTTCTGGTCCAAAAATACCCACGCATTTTAGAGAAATGAGCCTTCAGACAGTTGAGGCGTGTAATGCCCAGCGTGGTGCAAATTTTGAATAAACTGAACTTTCTGATTCTTTGGCAATGAAAACGCCTGAAGGCTGGCATATTGATCTTTGAAAAAAAAAGTGCAATATAGTGTATGTAGCTTCCTGTACATTTGGAGAGAGTCAAAAAGAAGACAGCTTCTAAATGGCTTACATTAGTACATCAACTGATCTGAAACAGTTGGTATATAAGACAATGTGGCTTGGGAAGTTGGGACAACCAGCCCCATCCCCCCCCCCACCACATCAAAGTCATGTGACTGCAGCAATACACCGTCGATTAGCTCTATAAAGGTTTTTTTTCTTTCTTTTTTCATCTGCAACACAGATTAAAGGTTGTGAACTCTTTGGAACTGTGTATTACAGATTGGCAGAGTCCCAACCTCAATCCCACTGAAATGCTGTGGTGTGATCTGGGGCAGTTCAAGCAAGACATCCCATGAAATGAAAGTTTTGTACGGATGAATGGGCAAAAATACCTCATAACTGCTAGGTAGGTCTTATCAGCAGCTACAGAAAGTATTTGTTTGAGGTTATCAATAAAAGAAATTTCACTAATTACTAAAATTACCATCAAGACATCAAGGATTGTTTGAGGTTTAAACTTTCAACCAGCGGTCACATACAGGCGGACCGTGGTCCCATACGGACCCAGACCAACAGCCAAAACATTTAATTATTTAAAACCTGACGGGGCGCTTTTATTTTAACCGGCGCAGCGTTTGTAGCCTTTTCGGTAGTGGTTTAACAGTAGAACCGCCGTTTCCCACGCCAATGAACGTGAAACGCCTTTAACCGCCAAGCAAGATCGACGTATACAGCAGTTCGGCGTATGCAGCCCTTTGTCTGCGCTAATGTGCCTTTCGTGTTAATAGCAGCAGCGAAGCTAAAACACCCGCAAACAAA